AAACAAACAAAAAAATCACTAAAATGAGCGGAAGGTGCCGACAGACGACATCATTTATTTCAATTAGAGAAGTTGACGCCAAGGTTGGAACAGTCATTCAATTGGCTAAGCATCGACGTGAACATGACGCAACAACCAGCATGATGTAGTGAGACGATCTGGAAGTTGGTACACGTGTGCGTCATACATCACGTGATGAATATGTATCGTATGAATCGGCAACGGGAACGCCACTGTTGTCCTAACGTTACTATAGCAACTCCGGCAGCATATCAAACGTTCTAAAAAGGAAGAAAAACGTTCATCACACTAAAATGACTGTTATTGATTAACACTGTTATTGAGATTTTTTACAAAATTTCCAGGTAAATAATACCCTTCTAACTTTCAAACAAGAAGTACATATATTAGGCAGTCCCACATGCTTCCTTTTCTGATCTGACGACTGCTGGCAACGAGAGAAGACACAAACACTGAAAAACAGGAAACAGTCACCAGTAAAAATGTAAAATTATTCATCAATTGCATATCTAATGGCAATAATAACAACTATATACAACAGTACTTAAAGAATTTACCGTTGTTTGAAAGTTAGTATTAGTACATTGCCAACGATTGTCATAAGTGACCTCAATGACGAGTGCAGTTGTACCGAGAAAGACTCACAGTGAGGAAAGGTTGGCCGGTGGTCTGTGCCAACGTGGTTTTTGTGACGGATTCCGTTTGATATATTTGTCCAATTACTCAACTTAACTTTACTTGCAAGCACACGTTACTGGTAAATATCAATTAAAGAGTACAGTGCCTTGTTATTTATTAAGCTCGTTTTTTTTAAAGAAATGTCGTGACACATACACAGGTACTAGTATTTTCCGTAGCACCAATGCATTTCATCCCGCTAAACATCATTTCCGATTATATTACTCGCAAATAACTGCATATTTTTCTACTTGCAGCTGAATCTTTGAATGTCTCTAGCAGAGTGTAGCCTGTGTAGGTAGCTGATCATGGCGAGACGACGGAAGTTATCCGCCCTTGACATGTTTTGAATGAGAATGAAAATCTGGCAACTTGTGGCAACTGTGCAGTGCAGCCCCCTCGATAGCTCAACAGTTTTCTTCTCAGCCACGCACACTGAAATTATGAACTAAACATTGCGCGATGCTTTATGACTCAATGCTTCATCTAGAATGTACTTTAAATTAATATTTTTATTGTTTGGCGCATGTACTTTTCGATGCGGATGTCTTTTCTATCATTTAAATTCAGGTTCGAATAGTTTGTTCAATTTTTCAATCAAGAAACGTTTTAATACTCAATCAATCATCAATGGTGCGTTGCATACACTTGAAACAATTTCATGCTTACATACGTAGTATAGTTATAGATATAAATTGTTCCACTGTATGAATCATGAGCACGCGCAATTGTTAATGGAAGAATAATTAATATGCCTTTGTTTCTCCAGAGTTGTAGGGCGTGTTCACGATAAACTGAGAGCAATCCAGAAATGCCGCAAGAAATGAGAAATGGTGTTGTTTCGCAAGCTCCTCACATTTCTTTTTAGTTTCAAGTTGTATCCTGAATTTTAATACCCGTAGCTGTTTTAATACCGAGAATCATATTCGGCTATTCACGTTTCGCACACTTACCTATAAAACGTCGTCGAATCGAGTATCCTTACTTGAAGTGTTTGCTTCAACGTTTCTCCACGCGGACACATTGACACAATAACCGATGTGCTTATCATTTATCAAGTCTACAAGAAGTCGCTAGGTTCATGTCAGTTAAAATTGCATTGGGGTATCGACTCAAGCAGCGATTGTTCCAAGCTTTTAAATTATGTTTAACAACTGCCCAAAGTTATTAGGCAGTACCGAAGATGGTAAATTAATGACTGAAGTCGTCCATCTTTCATGCTGTGTAAACGGGAGCGGTCAGCGGTGGACACGCGACGAGCAATTTTGATCACAAGGCTTTTTGTTGGACTTCAATGAATGAAATAATCAATTATGGACGTAGTTCGCAGTGTTATCAATAATTACAATCAAATTTTTTTATGAAAGGACTCAAAGTTGGGAAATTGTTAGGAATTGAACTTACGGTCCTTTTCATATTGCCTGTGTTCTACTCCTCGCGATTGCAGGCTCTGTTCTATCTAGCCTTCGTAATTTCAGCTACCGTATTTTTTCTGGTCCTTGAAAAGGTAGTTTTTGTTCGCACGATATAGCATCTAAATGAAGACTGTACCTTGCATGGCACTGATGACTTGCACTTTCAGCCTTGAGCATCACTAATTTTTTTTATTGCTGATAAATTTAATTCAGTTTCTTTGATTCCCCACTAGAACCTATGCTGTCACGCGGTGTAAAATAAACCATCCGCTATCAAGCAGGGCAGAAATAGACAACTATGACTTGCCTGTTGTTTGACTTATTTACGCGTTTACTTCGAGTTACGCAGCATTTTTATCGTCTGCTGAATTATTCGCGTTATTGTAAATAGAACAATATTTCGAGTAGCCGTTCAAGTTCGTCCTGCGTAATCTGTAGCTGCATCACAAACTACAGTAGCTGAAACGTTTTTATATTTCTTGTTTGATTTGCACATAGATTTTAGTAATTATTTGGGAAACCAAAATATAACTCGTGTTGCGAATCTGCGGTCGTGAGTTATGTGGCGTTACTGTTCTCTGTTTATTGATGATTTCATTGTGATGTAAAATATCTTAATGGACCAATGGCAAGTCTTCATCAAGGGCCCTGAAGAAAATTCAGGCACAATTGAAAGATATTCAATCAATCCGAAGTATATTCACAGAGATCTCATTGCATTCCAATGACCTTTCATTTATTCCTTTTGCTATTGGTCGATGAGGCGCGTGACCTTATATTTTGTCCGGTCTTAAGCCCGAACTCGAAACTTTTCAATTTCATTTGCTGTTGAAAAGAATTTCAAAATTATTCAATTAATTTTTTGTTTGAAGACAACATGAGAAATGTGAAAATCTGAGGACATTTGGAAACCAGACATTCCCGAAACCATGTGAAACCATTTGGGAACCGACAGCCTTGCCATGGTATTTTTTCTCCAATTCGAATTTAATTTCTCGCAAACAGATTTAATGGCTCTGTTGCACCATCGGATGAACCAGGTATTATGGCTGGTCCATCACACCTCAGAATTAATGACGTAAGGTATTGACATTTACTGACCTTTATGACGCGCGTCATCCTGATCGTAAAATTAACTGCCTCGACACTGACATTCAGGGCGATGCCTAGTGACGTTTTTTAGCGCATTTTCTCATTTATGGAAAAAAGGCGATTTTGTGCTCGTCATGTCCGTCTGTCTGCTGTCCGTCCGTCTGTCCGTCTTCACGCTTTCGTCGACGAGAAAATGCGCTCTCTGTCACTCACAGCTGTGTGTACTGAGTTTTATTTTATTTTTTTTTAAGTTTTCCTTTCGTGGAGTCTCATATACGGGACTAGATTTGTAGCGTCATCAGCGGCGGCTGTATAATCTGATTTCCGGAGCTTCTCAAGTATATTTACTCTTATGAGCATCCTCTCTTGTTCTAGGATTTTCTTCTTCTATCACTTGAAGATAATGCATTTGTTGCAGCGCGCAACAATTTTCCTGCTTGTGTGAAGTATGATATGGTAGCGGTAGTCATTTGGGCTTTAAGTTTACGGATGGCAAACAATTCTATTTCTCAATGAAATTTGATATAGATTTGTGCTAATAAATAACATCAGATGATATTAAAAAGGAACTCAAATTATGTAATACATTCTCCCACAAAATAAGTTACTTCAAAGCTTATCTCCTTCTAACCGCCATGTTGGACCCAATGACCGTGGAAATGGGCCTCTCAAGTGCATGCAATCTGCTGGCACTTGATGCATGAGAGCTACGCAATGCCTGCACATGTGGTCCTGTTACGTCTGCAATATCATGCAAGTGTACGTCAATTGATGTCTAAAAAGTGATTGAAATATTCTGATGATATTGACCTACTTGGTTGTATCACTCAACTCGTTCATAAAGATAGTGCCCAGGTTTATATCTATGCATTTCTGATGAGATGGAACTAATTAATAAAAATATGCACTCAATGTAATTTAGGCAATAAAGTTCCTTTCGTCCTAGTGTGTACAGTCATCCCTTTCTGTATCTTTTCGAACTTAGTTGTTCTACACAACCATAATCGGTATTAGTGAACGTATTATTAGAAACACTCCCACGAAGGTGACCTATATATGCACAATACATATAGGCACCAGCAGTATTCAAGTAGGCATTGTTATCTGTCGCTAGCAAGGTCATAGTGATGTTTATGGTGCGTTAGTGTGTGTGCTGACGAATAAACTTGATGTACGACGGTGTGCGGTGCGTGGTCTGTTGCACACTGTGTTGTGATGCTTAATATCATGTCGGCTGTGCTTGATCGCTTTCAGTGTGTATTATAATGTTATATAGTAAAATAAAGTTTACACATAATTTTCGTGTAGGCATACAACGCATATTATTCGTGAAGGCACTCAGCAGGTATCAATCGTTGTAGCGCAGCATTCGTGTAGACACAAATCAAACATGTGTAGGCACGAATCAAACATGTGTAGACACAAATCAAACATGTGTAGACACAAATCAAACATGTGTAGGCACACATCAAACATGTGTAGGCACACATCAAACATGTGTAGGCACACATCAAACATGTGTAGGCACACATCAAACATGTGTAGGCACATATCAAACATGTGTAGGCACATATCAAACATGTGTAGGCACAGATCATACGTGTGTAAAGGCACACAGCACACGTGTATAGGCACACATCATACGTGTGTATAGGCACACAGCACACGTGTATAGGCACACAGCACACAGGTGTTTGCCAGGGATAGGAATAAGGTCAGGCGTCTTGGCCTGTGCAGCAGTTGCAGCAACGCCTCTGTGCCGCGTCGGTTGCCAGCTCACTCACTTCACGACTAGCCGGCTCACGGCCACCACGTCCTACATCTTATAGCTCCCTAGAAACGTTCATATATACGTACACTTTCCCATATATCTGTAGTATACTTTTCTACATGGTGTGAAATACGTGAAAACAATAAGATTTTGTGGCAAAATATTGTTTCGTATTCGTTTGGAACTCGAAGTGTGAATTTTATTTTCTTGTGAAACTGACGAAGTCCCAAGCGCGCGTTTGGTTTTAATCGTCAGGAAATAGTGTGGAAATTTTTCTGCTGATGATATCTCAGTTTATAACAATCAACGGAGTTTTTGAAAACTACGACGCACACGAGCATCTAATTTTTCAGTCTAATAACTCACTTAATAACGTACTTCGTACTTGGTTGAACTGTCAATTGGCCTTCTTTTTCACTCCGTAAGTTTACCAGGGTTAAATGCGGTGATGTAATTGTTAGAGTAGCTGTTACTTGCAGGTTAATCAGTTCGTTGATATTTAATGCTGATATAGCAAATCAACCCAAAGGTAAAATGGATCAATGAATCATGCAAACCTCGTCACTATACCCGTATGATTGTGCGCTTTGACCGTTCAGATCACGCGCACTGTGATGCACTATAATGTGCGCACGCTTGTACGCACTGCTCCCCCAACATACAGCTGGTCCAGAGTCCGATGCCCACTTGAATGTTACATTCTTGGGTATTGATTACGCCCGGGGACTCAACTGTTAGGGTATCGGGTCCAACATCGCGTGAGCGTGTGGGTACGACGGTACAGTATATACCTGAATCAAGAAGGGACAATATCACATTCAAGTGTGAGTTCAATATTCTTTGAGCATGTGGGGTACAAAGGTGCAGTATACCTAAATCAAGAAGGTACAATATCACATTCAAGTGTGGGTTCAATATTCTTTGAGCGTGTGGGGTACAAAGGTACAGTATACCTAAATCAAGAAGGTACAATATCACATTCAAGTGTGGGTTCAATATTCTTTGAGCGTGTGGGGTACAAAGGTACAGTATACCTAAATCAAGAAGGTACAATATCACATTCGAGTGTGGGTTCAATATTCTTAGGGCGTGTGGACAGAATATCGATTGGCTTGGGCATACAAATTTCGACCCTGAGACGGTCTAGGTATCGACGCACCGCAAATTCGCAATGCCCTCCTCTGGATGCCGCGCCACGTCTCGTCTGTGCTGCTGTCGCATTTTATCCGTGCCGGCTACTCTCGGTTGGCCGACATCGTCCGATGTCACCTCATAATGATATGACGATTACACTTCATGCTTAAGTTTCTGTCTTTATTTACAAACGATCGCTTGACTTATCACGCTCTATAAGTACAGATATGTTATCACATTCTACGGTTAATCTTTTATACTAATAAACGACATCGACAATACCATTGATCTAAAATACGTGCATATTGATCTTAAATACTTATAATCGACATCGTCATGCACACGGGATTTGAACGAAGTACTGTAATATAGTTATTCTCATTCTCTCATGAACTGGAATATTTTCTTCTACTGGAAGAAAACATACGATTTTATATTGAGAAAATTGATATCATTTTCACTCATTACAATATCACTGTAACTTAAAAATTCTGCAATACGTTATCGTGTCGACTGTGCCGCTCTATTGTGACCAGTTTCATATTCTATATTTTTTAAAAGATTTATTATAGTTTACCTCGGAATTAATATGGATTGCAATTTTTTTTGGAGTAAGGTTACAACTTATACGTAACTGCAATCCCGTTATTGCCTTTGCTTCAAGACTGACGCGTCTCCGGTTTAATATCACTAAGTTTTGCTGCTGAAAATTACGAAAAAGCTACTCTGAAGTTCGTATATCAAGCTTTGTAAGCTCAGCTTGAACTTCTACTTTACGATTGACTTTACCAGCCTACGAAGGTAAACTTTTCAGGGGTTGAATCTGCCTGCAGGATGGCGGGTTTTACTGTGGAATATCTATCGACTTCCATAATGTGTAATTTTTTAACTTGTCTCGTAACAATAATATTGATTAAAATATTATTGTTGAAGATTACTGCAGTGTTCAGGACGATGAAATGATACATACGTAGTTGCTATTTTTATTTTTGTTAGCGAATAGAGATTATAGAATGCAGAATCTGTTTATAAATGTATACTGCATATTGAGATCGCATAGCTAGTATCAAGTTAGACGCTCAAGAATTTCATTGTATTAGGCGTTATTCGACGTAGCATCTTAAAGCTTAGGGTTTGCTGCGCTATTTCTATAGAAGAGCCCTGGTATTCGTCGGAGAAATTAATTAAAACGCAAGTTCCTGTCGGCTTTCTAGGAAGTTTAGTGAAGCAAAGCCTTTGACGCTCCCGCTGCTTCTCATGTACAATGTGTTCATGTACAAATTGTACATGCTGTGTTGTGTGCAGCTCGCATATTAGTACCTCTTTCGATTATTATCACTAAATAAATAGATTTTTATTAGATTTTATTACGGTTTATAGTGCAATTTAGAAAGTTCATTAAGTTTACTGAATTCAAATGTCGAGTGAAGGATGCCATATTCTTTGAGTCCCATTGTTCGAGTCCTAAACATCTGAATAGAACTTGATTGCGTTCCGTTTCAGAATTTTCGCTCAAATTTACGTACATTGAGTGCCGTAAAATAGTGGGAGTTATATTGAGTTAGGTATACTTACGTACTTCCGTAAATTCAATCATGTATACTTTAATTAAAAACGGTAATTTTTAAAGTTCCTCATAAATTAGATAACATTACAAGCCTTTCTATTATACCATCATGAACGACCACAGATTTTCGCCCCCTTCCCGCACTTAGACGCCTAAATTGTTTCGTTATGTGCGATTTAACAACGATGAAATTCGAGGACGCTGTGGCAAGAAATAAATGTTATCTACCAAATGAAACATTCCATGTGATTAACAACATTAATTAGAATTCTCATTTCTGATAGTATCAAGTTATATCAGGCTGATTACTGGTCTGCTTGATCCTATAGATCAAGGTTCTTTATAGAGGCCCTCCATTGTTATCGCGTTGAGAGTCTTGTCTGTGCTAAACTCGATCGCGTGATCACAGACCACGCTGTCTCCAGTGATTTATCTCGAACTATGGACGTCATACCGCACCTTTCTTCTCGTGACGTACGAATGCTAACGTTTAATATTATATTAGGTTGCTCGCGTGAAATGTTATAATGAAATACTAGCTTCATGGGAGTGATGTGTTTTTAAATCGAACTAGCTACGTCATACCGCACCTTTCTTGTGACGTAAGAATGATAACGTTTAATATTAAATTAGGTTGCTCGCGTGAAATGTTATAATGAAATTTAGCTGGATGGAAATGATGTGTTTTGAAAATACTTCACTTGGCTCTTTCATCTCTTACTTCATATAATTTTTCAAGGGAATGTTCGTATAATTCAGATTGGGTTTGTTCGAGGTATTTATGCAATTTATACTGCATTTATTCTTTTTCTTAATGAATTTGCTGCATACAGATTTTTATTTTCATAGTTTAATAAATTATATAGACTATACACACAGCCAATGAAGTAACAATTGAAAAACGTTGCTGCACTTGCAACTATTATTACGATAATTTTTATTAGTTTACTGTTAGTATACTGTCAAAGGGAAGATGCCTCTTCCTATAGTCGAGGTTCTCATATTCTCATGCACCCTCGTCGCAAGCATCGCTAGGTATATGATATTCACGGTGTGTTATGCGCGTTGCATGAATTAAGAATTTTTTGGTCGTCCTTTATTTATAACCTTGATACCTTGCAATGCAGGGAAAATATTCTGTTTACGTCGAGCCAGTAACGAATTTCCTCTCGATGATTTTGCAAGATCAAATGAAATTTGTACGCTCGATATTATGCCCTGACTTGGCACTGCATATTGTCTTGGATGCAACGACTTGCCCAAACTTGCTGAGAAAATTGTCTCAAATATACTAATGTTAAATCTGCACGTTTGTGACTGTATTTTCGATTATTTTTGTCTCATAGTTCCGCTTTTGTTTCCCGTTTTATTTGAAAATTATAGTACTTATTTCCGAGTAAGTTATGCATCGTTCTGTGTATGCATCGACACGCGCAAGCATAAATTTCTTACACGGGAAAAATTCGAGACCAATTCTTTAGGTGGCTTGTTTTTGCCTTTTTTTTCTGACAAATTTTGTAATGAGTGTACGGACCTTCATGTTGGGTTATTTTCAGCTGACCAGAGAAAATGGGATAATATTAATTTGATTGTAACGTAATATTAATATGATGATATTAATAATATTAAGGGAAATGCAGAAAATGGCCGCCGTATATACTTTAGTAACGACGGATACGTGAAGCGAATCGACGAGGATGTTCATCCTGTCGGAAATCGACACCTTAGAACAAATAGAGCCGAGGCCTTAATTGAGTCGCAATAGCTTTGTTCTGTATCGAAGCAAAATGCGTTCAAATTTTTTAAAATGTACCGTTTAGAAATGTAATTTGCGGATCAGCTTCTTAAGATTTGAGGCTAGAAATTCCGGGTTTGCCGTCCACGTCTATTAGACCATGAACAATTTAAATCTAACCTGACCTGCAGCCAGAGCTGGGCATCGCTACTTTGAAATGTATCGGCGCTACCGCTACTGAAAATGTAGCGGCCGCTACACGTAGCGTGCTACTGCCCACCTCTGCCTGAAGCTGCTTCGCGGCCGTAACCTTGAAGTCTGCTGTCGGCAGCGGGACCGGACGCACTGCAGTGCGATGTTTCCCGTCCTGCTTGCTGCGTAAATTATGTCATCAGGACTAGGTTCTAGTTACAACATGATGTGTTGTTTGACCCTAATCCTCGCTATGACAAGGCTAGGGATGCGGCTAATGCTTAGGAAAGCATCACGCTGACAATATTTAAAATAAATAATCGAATGGTTATTAATCCACGGATTGCTGTAAGGGATGAATGTGTGGCATTTCCAATGATAATAATATAAGCTTGTACAAGGTTACGGTAGAAGCTTGGTGGTTGGAATAAGTTGTTGACTTTTACGTATCTTAATTGATGAGCGTGATGACCAATAGGTTGACGAGTGACGGAGTGACAAAGCGAAAAATGCGACAGCATCTCATTTAAGTTTTGACGACAAGCGCGCAGACGTGCGAGGTGCTGCGAGGCAAAATATAGACCAATATTTTATTGTTTTGTGAGCTCGAGCAATGCTAAGCTAAGTTCGAGCAATGTTTTTTACGGTTATTGAATAGTAAGGAAAGTAATGGTTGTTTGATTGGCTTTTTATTCAGGCCTTCTATCAACGTGCTTTTGTATGAATTAAATATAAATGAAACTCAATTATTTGCGAGATAATTTGCAGGGTGTGAAGATACGTGCTTAATTTAATAAACATTGGCCGTAATGAGTCTTGTGTTGCGTTCTCTTTTTGATAGTCGCATCGATATTTACACGTTGGGGGTAGATGAATTAATTTTTCCAACAATAAGTGACATAATTAAATTTTCAGAATATATGGAATGGAATTGATTGATTTGACGAATAATGACGGCTTATTATTTTACAGATAAGAATGTCTACGGTGCGCGGAGTTCGTGGTGCCAACAACACGTGGCGCAAGGCTGACGACATCGGCAACGAACCCGGCTTACAACTCACAAAACATTTACTCGACAACTCCATCATCACAGTCCCCGCAATACTTCAGTACTCGGGCGATAAAAATGGCGACCAGCCTTGCATGGGCACCAGGACCATAATTCTCAGACATATCGAAGAATCCAAAGGCAAGAAGCTGGAGAAATTAGAGCTCGGTGACTACGTATGGAAGTCCTACAAAGATGTTTATGAGGACATGTTAGTGTTGTCTAAAGGTGTCTTGAGTTTGGGTTTGAAACCTAAATCTAAAATTGCGATGTTCGCGGAGACGCGAGCCGAGTGGTATGTGTTTTCAGTGGCATGTATGAACGCCGGAATGACTATCGTAACGCTTTACACGAACCTCAACGACGACGGAGTTGCACACGGCATCTTGGAGACAGAAGTTGACACTATCGTCACGAGTGTCGAGCTCATGCACAGACTTGCCAAGATCCTGCCAGGGAATGATCAGGTAAAGCGCGTGATCGTGTTAGAGGATCAGCTGGATGGCATCGGCGATGCTAAAGCCACTCTACCGTCCATGGAAGTTTTGTCTTACGGAGAAGTGCGTAAGATGGGACGTGACGCCGACGTACAGAACATCGAGGGCCCGGGTCCTGATGATGTGGCCATCATTATGTACACGAGTGGGTCCACAGGCAATCCAAAAGGCGTGTTGTTGTCTCACCGCAACATTTTCTCAGCCATCACGGCCTACGTTGTGCAGGCGCACTTGAGCCCCGGCGACTGTTACTTGGCTTATCTTCCTCTCGCGCACGTCTTGGAGCTCGCCACAGAAACAGCTATCATTGCCATGGGCGTGAGCATTGCTTATAGCTCTCCCCTCACTCTCACTAATACTAGCCCTAAAATTATGAAGGGAACCGTAGGCGATGCAAGAATGGCGCGACCGACAGCAATGTGCGCCGTGCCTCTCATCCTTGATCGCATTATTAAAGGAGTCTTAACCAACGTCGAGCGACAAGGCAAATTTGCATCGAAACTTTTCTCGGCGTCACTGCAGTACAAGCAAGCAATTAATGGAAACGGTGGCGTTTTAAGCAGGTTTTTAGACACTATGATCTTTAACAAAGTGAAGGCAGAATTGGGCGGCCGTTTACGCATGATGGTTGTGGGAGGTGCTCCGATCTCCAATAGAACGCAACTCATCATCAAGGCGATGTTTGGGTGTACATTACAAGCTGCGTACGGCGCAACCGAGACTTCAGCTTGCGCTACCAGCATGGACGCGGACGATCACACTCTTGGCCACTGCGGACCACCAAATCCACGCACCATCGTTAAACTCGATGACTGGGAGGAGGGCGGGTATCGGGTTGCGGACGAACCCCTGCCGCGGGGGGAGGTCGTCGTCGGGGGAGACTGCGTTGCGTTAGGATACTTTAAATTACCCGAAGAAACCAAGCAATCGTTTTATGAAGAGGATGGTGTACGGTGGTTCCGTACGGGAGATATCGGAGAGATGGATGAGAATGGGTGTCTAAGAATCATCGACCGCATGAAGGACCTCGTAAAGCTACAGAGCGGGGAGTACGTTTCCCTGGGGAACGTTGAAGCTGTTCTCAAAACGCACGCGGTTGTTGACAACATATGCGTTTTCTGCGATAGCAACCAAAACAACACCGTGGCAGTGGTGGTTCCGGCTGCCGAAACCCTGAAGAAAATAGCCGCTGGACTATCCAAGAACGAATCTGATAATCTGAGCGATCTGTGTAACGACGCGGACGTCGTTAAAGCCGTGCTGAAGACGCTTCAGAGTCACGGCCGCAGCCAAAAGCTCAATCGTGCCGAGATTCCCACTGCATTGTTCCTGACTTCTGAGCCGTGGACGCCCGATAATGGCTTAGTTACTGCTGCTTTGAAGTTGAGGAGAAAGCCTATAGTCAAACATTTCTCGCAACAAATAGCCGCCATGTACGCCTCTTCCTAAATGCACTGTGATGGCTTACGTCAAGTGTCTTGCCAGGATGTTGGAGGGCATTCGAGCTCATCTTTTTATTGCTCTTTGTTGTGAAGATAGAGACGATCATCGTAAAGGAGAGCGCGAGCGTTGCCTGAATGTGTCAAAGTTTCAAGTGCTGAAATCTTCAGAAAAATTTACCCAGATGGGCACTCTTTATCCTAAATATTGTTATCCAATGTGATGTGAATTAATACAAAATTGCATAGTAAATTACACGGATTTTATAATAAATTTCTGTTATTAATAGGCCTAATCAAATGATAAATGTATTCTATTATATGAAGGCATTAATTTAACGTACTCTTTCTTTAACGCTTTACTAGAATAAATGTTGATTCAGGGTGCACTTAGACGTAATTACATTGACTATGTGAGGAAAAACAGGGAAGATTACTGCCCTGTTCTCCACGACTGTGATTAGAAAATTCGTTTGTTGCTTGAGTTATAGCACGCGTAGGATGTTGAGAAAGCTTCATTGCTAAATTGTAATTAAAAGATGTTTTAGTAAGGAATAAATGGTTTCTTATAATCTAGGTGTTGTTCTTCACTGTGAAATAAAATTATTTAGAAAACTATATAAATTTCACTACTGGTTATGATTAGGTCGAAAGTGAAACTAAACTATTGGCGACTTCGAAAATACGGATTTTTTGTTTGCGGAGTCAGATTTGAGATAAGAGATTTTATCCACTGATCCAAATTAGAATGAAGGTTTTCATAATTTTTTTTGGAACTGCAACCTTCCACATGGTGAAGTGACCGTTTGTATAAAAACAATTTCGTTATTCAATAATCGCGCGGCTTAGTTTATATTTTGCGCTTATTTCTTGTTAATATTGTTGTTCTATGGAGTATAGTTAGTCGTATTGCTTAACGGAAGTCCTTGTAAGTTTGTACAGATTTTTGTTTGTAAATAAAGTTTCCCGGTTCGATGTTTCTGGCAATAGTTTTTCGTATTTTCCTGATATTCTTCTTACTACCTCAGTTCTGCCTGCTTGCCATTCGAGTAACTATAATATTCTTCAGTTTATTTCTGACTTTATTTCAAGCTACGGAGCGCATTGGAAGCCTGTATATAAGTTCCTGAAACCTCAAGTGCTTCAGATGGAAGGCCTTAAACGCTAAAGTAGCCGCACAAAGATATGTAGCAGCGACGATTTTAATTTCTAGTTGATGGTTTACGGACCTGGGCCTATACTTTCAAAAAAAGTTAAGAGATCGTAAGTTCATCAGCCAATCATTGACGGCCTATCGAGCAAAATCCACCAATCATAGACAAGAAAATAGAGCGAAAGTACTTACGTTCACTTAGCCAGTTTTGAAAGTATGGCCCAGCTGTAATAGGACGCAGGCGAGATGTTACCCGATGACTTTAATCGGGAATTTGCATATTTAGGTGCCTTTGGCTCATATATAGCGTTGACATGGCGGAGGGAAAAATTGTTTGCTGGCTGGCAAAGCTTGAGCTGCATGAACTTTTTCAAACTTTTCCAATATTTCATTTCGAGAAGAAAAGCTTGAATTAGAATTTTGATATTAAATTTTGATTTATTTCGCTCACAACCGGCATCATTGATCCCGTTTACGTCATGTCTTGCCTTCTTTCTGATCTGAATTATTGAGATCTTTTCGTTTGAATTATAATTTGACAATCGTTTTTATGATTTACTTGAATTGTTTTCGTGTTACTGTGCTTCCTCGATCTTCGGTTGCTTGCTTCTCGTGATGGTGTCATTGTACCGCCAGCAACTAGTGTACTTCATTATTAAAGTAAATATAACTCGGTACTCAATGCAGTGAGTGACAGAGTGCGCATTTTCTCGTCAACGAAAACGTGAAGTTACGGACGGACAGACAGACAGACATGACGAGCACAATTGCGCCTTTTTTCCATCAATAAGAAAATGCGCTAAAAAGAGTCAGGATGAGTAAAAACTGTATTAATTTGATCGATTTGAAATAAACTAGGCTGTTCTCAATTTAATTATGCCAGTTTTAGAGAAATAAGTAGAAGCTTACCGAAAATATAGACAAGGTTGATTAGTGGCTGAGGCGATATACAAACTAACGAAAAGCTTTTTGTCGATGATAATTGTTACTGCGATGTTGAATATATAAGTTCTAATAAAAACTATGGCGAATAGTTGGAAATTTTCCGCTTTTCTCAGTAGGTTGAACCTTTACCTCATGGCGGTCAAATTCGACCACTGACCTGGCCTGAGGTTCCAGCTTCTCCTAAGCAAGTTTATTCGAGATTCTTACTTACTTTCCACTTCAATTTACAATATCCTAAATTACGTAAGTTACATTGGCGCGGTTCATCGTTACCATTATATTGCACTCAGACGTCGCGCGCCACACTTCTAAAGACAAGCAGATTTGAAGAAATTTATGATTTGAAGTCTAAGAAATTATGCGATCTGGTACACGCTTTATATTGGAGAGAAAAATCCTTACGAGTATGGATAACAGTGCTTGTCATGCTTGTTGTTATGGCATGCACCTCGCTCGAACTTTTCAATCGAGTTTTTTTTCATGGTAATGTGTATCTTTTTCTTGCCTTTATATGAGCCGGGTTCATACGGAAAGTACCGTAGTACGTAGGTCTCATCGGGATTTAAGATGCGTGACTGGAAGATTCTGATTGTGTTGTACTTGTAGTATTAAATTTTTTTTAATTTTTAATAAGAGGATAAATTCTCAGTTCCACTAAATGTTTGACTATAATTCGCTGACTATAATTCGCAATAATATCATGAAAAGTTTTTTTTTTATCAGGAGTTTTTTATTATCCAAAGAAAGGTCTTGTAATGCTTAGATGTTACGAGATTTTTTTGAATTGTTGTATTTGTATTTTATTAAAAATTTATTGAATGTTGTTATTTTTTTGATAATTTCTGACGCTAACTCTCCACGAAGAGACGTGTATTTGTGTGAAACAATTTTCGTTGACGTTATTAACATTATGAAAAGGCGATGAATAACCTGATCTGTCTACAAATCTTTGATTCAGCTCTGATGTCCCAGTCCAATATTAAGGCCACAGTTATGACTAATGAAATTACACCCCAAATAATCCATGAATCAATGGATTGAACTTGGTACGATGGGAAGTCAATTCTCCATGTGAAGGTTTACAATTTTTTGCCCTATGCAGATTTTTATTTCTGTATTTCAGGCCAAATAATGGCTGTCCCGCATGCAATATATTTTAATTAGGAATAAATTCATTTACGCGGGTTGATTGAATCTGAATAGCTGTTGGTTGTTTTCTACCGAGTTAAATGCTCTTATTTAAATTAAAGATAGCAGACAAATTTTTAAAAAGGGCGACTGAAATCTTGAACATCTAATTTCTAATGTGTAGAGTAGGATCACATTTTATGGAATAAATTTCATAGGTTATTAATATTGTATTAATTTATTGTATTGTATCATGAAATTTGATAGTTGAATGTAAGTTAGATCCCTTAATTAATAATGATTACTAGTTATTACATTTTTAATCAAGTTACATGCACGAAAAATTAATTGTTAATACGGCTGTGACCACAAATCACCACTCGGCTTCCATCTTTTTAAATGGAATTTCGTGTTACCGGCGATGCTCGAAATATAGTGATAAATTAGAAAAGAAAATACGATTCCTATAATATGGAGTATATTTTACAACGCAAAGTATTTTTTAATAGTTACCTCGCCAATAGTCTGGATTGAGCCTATTTTCATGGAAGATTTTAAGCTCTTTTAAAAAATCAAGTCTAGTATGAACATAAGTCTCCTTCTGAAGGAATATGTACAAATTATATAAACTAATAGAGCTTTGATAATGAACATACTATCTTTTCCTAAATTGCATGTACGACTTGCGAGTTTTATTTACAATTCGTACCCTTATTCTTATATTTACACTGTGGCGGACCTCAACTTCCACTCACCAACCAACGCGCATAGCATACAAGTATTGTAATGATGCTCAATTAATGCGTTGATACATTCATACATCTTGCAGCACCCGCAGATTTTGTCATGCACGTGAAGGTAAAATCAACAATTTGGTAATTATAAAATCTTAAAATTTAGGCAGGTTTGAAACTTCGGTTTATAATTATAATGACTATTGTATAGTTCAAGTTATTGTACTATTTATGAATACTTGAATAGCCTTCAATTTAAATTACAACTTTAATTGTGCGGAGCTTGTTTTACACCGTCTGAAAGGATACTACATTAAAAAGGTGCCCCAGGTTGTAATAATTTTTTGAAAAATATTAGCATGTTAATATTCATGGCACTGCTAAGTATGGTGTTTTCGTCTTCTACGAGTGGTAAAATTCTTGCTTTCTTCGGTGTTTAAATTATTGCTGTTTCGTGCGAAAGAACACCGAGACACCAATTTGTGGCTTTTAAAACACTCTAACTATAACTAATATCCTGCTCCTTGACTACTTTATAACTTGCTACGGTAACAATGAACAATTCGTATCACTATTTTTTCAAGTAAGTTTCCTGATACCAAATAGGAAGAGGACTTGAAATTGCTTCAGAACATTTAATAACCTTTCCTCTTGTGCATCTATAACGTACAACTTGGTGATAACTTCTTTGTATAATATAGGCTTTCCGTCCCTGAAATGATACTTTATTCTAATTATGATACATTTTCTTTTCCAATTACTTCGAGGTTGACATATAAATATATTTTTAAAGATTATCTTGTATTTTGTGGACTTTTGTAAACTTTTTGCTTCCCTCTTGGATGTTCTCGTCTACGTGCTCATTGTATGAGTGTGATATTTACTGAGCTTCCTATCCTTGTACATCTTCGATCAATTGACCGCACAATTGTTTGTGATGAAATTCAGTAGTTCATCTCGCGCATTACGATTTATCGTATTCGGTAAATCTTCGAGACTCGAGAGACATCGTCTCGCACAAATTACAGCATCGAAATCAAGTATGGATGTTGAAGAGCTAGTGGCATCAGCATTTATTAAATAAACGTCCGGATATTATAATTTGAATGAACTCAAAACCAGTTAGCGAGAGCCGAAAATGCTGCAAATTTTTTATAGTTGCCTCGGATTGTTGCCCGACGTCCATATATATAGGCTATTCTGGGCATATGCCAGCTCATTTCCAACGACTTCGATATCTTCAACTACGCGTTGCCGATGTGTTTAATAATAATACTTCAAATAGGGATAGGATAGGGAAATACCCAATTTCAGGAGTGTTATACAACATGGCTGATATGTAATTCGCTAATGAGCGTAATAATCCAGTCCTATGCTGAAATAAAAAATATCAATGTTGTTCTAGCAAACATTAACTGGCAATTGTCTGCCAATAGGGTGGAAAAATAACATTTTATTTTGACTTTCACCCTCGTTGGTGACGTGTTGTGACGAGTGACCTTCAACCTTGTTTACAATCGCTGAATCATCGGTCAATTGTCAACGGCTCGTTGGTTTAGCTCAGAAATCGCAATAGTGTGATACCACCATAAACAACACTTCAGAAACCATCATGCACTATTTCAAAATAACTTCCTACGTCATTGCATCAATTGTTTCACTGAAATTTCAATATTGATGATAGATATCTATTAGCATTAACTTATTACAAGCCACGCATTGACGCCGGGCAACATGAAAATTGATCGTGCTGGTGATTTTCATCGAATCATGCATGACATGAACACTCGGTTCAACTTCAACTTCCGTATAGATAAGAAGGTCACGTAGATGTTACTGACGAATATTGAAAAAAAGTTCCATACAAATGATGCGTATGATATGAGCATCGAAACCAAAATTAAACGATAACTTGTTGGAAAAGTTAGACTTAAGCGCCTAACATAAATCATTGCTCGCTATTCAGTTGAAAAGTTTGAGATGTGCTATATATTCTGTTAAGATATGATATATTTTTCAAAACTAAG